TGAGTCGCCTGCCCCTTCTTCCAGAGGTGAACAGTCATGAAAAGAATTAGAAAATCTGTGGAATCACTTCTCTGTCCAGGTATGTATCCTGCATTTATAGACCAGTCCAGATAGTTGCCAGCTCATTCCTAACTCATGAACAGAAGTGTTTGATGGAGAATGGAATAAGCATCTTTCTTTCATTTTCAAATTCAAACCTATCAGCTCTGTGAGAACAAAAGAAGGCATCAAAATCTCCTGTCCTGCTAGTATATCGCAGGCCACTGAAAGTGCCTGAATCAAAGATAAGAGAGTCTTTGGCATAATGCAGTAAGCAGCACCGCTTCTAAGGAAGCGGTCATATAGTTTTACATGCCAAGGCAAAATTTACGATCAAATGTGGAATTAGTTATTTGGAGTAGTAGAGTGCGCATTAAAGAAACCCATTCTTGAACAGATCACTTTCTTCAACCTGGAGGCAGTCACAGCCCCTATGAACTCTATATTCTTGGATGCAGTTTTTTGGCTTGGTTTAAATTGGGGAGGGGGAGGTGGGGGGGGCTTTTTCAGCTCGATAGAAGACCTATTAGAAGACAAAATAGAGAACTAAAAATGGACAGAGTACCATCTAAAACCTTCAGCATCCCCAGTTAGGATCTAACTAAATACATAGTGTCCAGGTAAGGGCACAAACAGATAATTTGTACTGCGGCTACCACTAGGCACGTTATTTCTACATGGTCTGAACAGCAATATCTTGAACCGATGGTGACATGGATCTACTGTGAATTCCAAGTGTTTTATGTACTGTGTGTTATTTTCATAGTCAATAAATAAACTTGAAAATGCCCAAAGACATTTTAATATTACCAATTACCCTATTTAAAAGAGTTTATCTGGGACATGTCAAGTTTTTCCTTTTCCTTCAGGTCTGTTTAATTATCACAACCCTGCTGTGAATGTTTCTATACTCTCACTCTTGCAGTGAGGCTATTATCCTAGGGGTCAAGTTCCTAACAGGGTAGAACACTGAAGATCATTACCTGTCAGTGATGTTGAGAGCATCTCTGGAAGTAGATGATGACCTCGAATGTCCAACACTACTAGTATGGGAACGTCTTCCTTTTGCTGAGGGTGTATCTAATGGCATCTCCCCCAAACCCTGTACAAAGGTGAAACTCTTAACATGGCTGGTACAGTTCTGCACTGCTGGAGACCCTGTGAAAGCAAGTCTGACAGCCGTGCAAAATACAGTAGCAAAGTACATTTGATGCAGTGTATCTGCAAGGGGCAAAGGCACGCACGGGGCAGCTAGCAAGCAGTACCTCGCCATGCTGTAGTCACTTGATTACTCGTCTTCCTCTGAATGCACTCCTCCCGTCCCCTGTAGGTTCACTGTCTGCACCTAACAGCCACTAGTACAGGTTTACATTTCTCAGCTGTTAAAGAAGAGCTTTTCCACATACCTTTTCACGTAGATTGCTGACAGATTCCTTAATATAAGGCAAATCCTTGGTCGGCACATACTTTTCAAGCATTTTATCAAAATCAGGGTGAGTCATCATACTGAAGAGCATCTTTCTACCATAATACCTGCAGGGCAACAGACCGTGACATACACATCTGTAAACATGGATTTGCTTTATAACCCTATTGATCCTTACAGGTGTGTAATTCCAAAACGTAGAAGTGCAGGAAGACCTCTATCTATATATGTAACCAGACACCCTTTTCATCCTCCCACAAGGAAACTACACTCAACAATCATTATTTAACCAACAGCTGAGCAAATTTATGAGAACGGTCTTCCATTTCAGCCCTCTTTAAAGAGGATGGTCCAGCCTTGTCAGTCAGACAGCGTGGATCCCAGTGCCAGCATTCCCTCTGTGGCCTGTACCTTGTCCTTTGAGCCCCCTCTCTTCCTGCAGCCAGGGTGGGCACAGCTGCAGCAGGAGGTAGTTCCTGTTACATATGCTACCTTAACAGTCTTGGCAGTGCTAGGTTAACAGCTGCACTCGATGAGGGTCTTTTGACTCTTCAGGGTCTTTTCCAACATAAATGATTCTATGATTCTATCCTCTGTCGCTGCAGAGGAACGCACACTGAGCTATGCCGAGGTTTGAGCCACCTGGAGTGAGCTTATCTTAACTATTAACCTTACTAACCTTGTTTGCTGTGAACTATCCTGTGCAAACCTGGCTATTGCAGGGAAAATCCGATCAGCAACAACTTTGGCTCCAGACAGAACCCGCTCCGGTCCCATATGTTCTACAATGTCTGACAGGTGCTGGGCTGTGCATCTTCTCACTGCTGAATGCAGGTGGCTAAAGAAAACACAGCTGATTAGTAAAAACTCATCACAGGAGCTAAACAGCAGTATTTATGTGCTCTACTGAATATGGTATACAAGTTTTCTGCTTTTAATCTTCAGCATAATCTACAACTAGTATACTGTTGATACGCAGTTACTTATACTGGCTGTATAGAAAAGACATTGTGGAGCAAAGACAAATAACTTTAAAAGCATAGTGCACTGGAATAAATTTCATTTCACTCATTTGAAATCCCAAACTACAAGAACACAGAATGAAAAATGAAAAATTATATCCTTTTTGCTTAAAGTCAGTTTCAACCTCTAACGACAGCTTTTGGATTAATAAAACTAGTAATTTTCTTCTTTTTAGAATTTAATTTCTAGTTTTCCTTAAAATAATTGTAAAATAGTGTAGAAAGCACACTACTACATGTTCTTTCCATCAACTTTATGAAAAACTAGTCCCTATGCTCAGAAACATGTCTTGTGTATTTTATATCAATCTAAAATCAAATAAAGCAGTATTCTATTGACTTCAAAAATCTTGCGCTAATCTGTTTTCTACGAACAAGGGCCATTAAACAGCTATGCTGACAAAAACGGAAGAAAAGTTGGAATCAATTTTCAAACTCGTGCTTATATAGGTTCTGCTCTACCTGCTGATCCCACATGTTTTCAGAGTACACAATTCCGCAAATTCAAACTTTTCCCAATTTTATTTTTATCTTTGGATTAAAAATTCTATTTTGAGGACAGTTTCACTGCACAGTAAGTGAGACGTTTGTGTGGCTCATCATTCATAGGGAAATTCAGGTTTAAAGGAGAGAGCTAAGAAAAAGTATTGACTTGGTAAACCACATCAGTGGCTCCCCAGCTTTGCAGTTTGACATGAACATCCAGCATTCTTCCTGAATGACCATGTTCCCATTTCACCAAGACTTTCGTTTTCTCTGGTTCCATAGATTACCGTGGCCTCACGAGAAGTAAAGCTACCACTAGGCTACACTGCACAAAGTAGCTTCAGTTTGCACAGACAACTAACCGGCTGTAGTCAAACTGCACAACGTGGCAACCCAGAATACAGTCCAGGCTGCAAAATCTACATGGCAGCGTGGCAGCTCCCGTGCTGAACTCCCTGCTAACACAGCCATCCTCTCACGGCTACTGAGCTGCCTCGTTTAAGACGCTTTGGCTCGTGCTCAGTACCTGCCTATGTCTGTACAGCAGCCACAGGTCTCAGGAGCTTGGGAGAAGGGAAACAGTAAAAGACTGACTCCTGCTGCGTGTACCGATGGGAAACAAGAACTGTGAGGCTTAAAGACCTCACTGTGTGGAAGCAAATAAGCCCCCATTCCCTGCAAACGCTCGCTACTCTTGCAAAATAGTTGGAAATTTTTTTGTATGCACATAAGACCTTAGAATTAAACACAACCTTAGAATTAAACACAATTCATACAGAGAAGAAACAGGATTTTAAAATTTCTGAAATACAGCCACTTTCAGATCTAGTTCTGGAATCATGCTCTTTGAACAAGCATCTATTCATAGAGGTGAATTTGCAGCAACAGTCCAGTAATTTAGAGCAGCATCTCACAAAAGCAAACAAAAATGTTTTTAATGATTCTTGTTGGTAAAGTCGAAACCAATTTTGTGATGATATACTGATGAAGAATCAGTATATATATCTACTCAGGGTTGCAAGCGTTAATACTTGTGGTCACAGTAGGCTTGAAATGTGTTGAGCACAAAATAGGTAAATTTGAAAAGGTCTTATGAATTGCAGGCAAAACAATAACTGTTAACTTGAATACGTAAGTTATGGTGAATATAAGCAACTCAATGTGTAAGACAAATTTAGAAAAGATATCCTTTGTGTAATTGCACAGTTGTGTCAGACAGAACCTTTCCACTTTGCACTGAAGACACATGTCATTTTTCTCCCAAATTTCCACTTTGAAAGATAACCCTCGTATTTGTTGTTACAGCCTCTAGAGAGGATAGCTCCATGGGTGCTGCCTGGGCTTTGTTGCTAACATGGCCAGAGCTTCCCGGAGCCACTGCTAGAAAAGCTGTAACTCACAGTGCTATTTAGGCCATCCGCTGATGTCTCGTGCATTAAAACATACTGCACTCCACGATTTAGATGCTGCTTTGACTGAAGTGGAGAAATTAATCCCTGCTTCAAATGCTGTAATCAGACTCACAGCTCAGGTAATTTTGATGCCTTAGATATCTGAAAATGTATCTGAGTTCACAAATCAGAGGGGTCAAATTTTATTGGTGTAGAAAATGCATAAGGATAGGTCAGCGTGTCTGAATCGGCCACTGGAAGGCGGCTGCCAGATTTAGCCAATTATGATCATGAGTATTGCTTGGCCAGGGATTTCAGAAGAGAAGAAGGGAGTACATAAACAGACCACTTTACATGATTTCTGAATTAAAGCAATGTGCAGTTACTGTCTGTTGTTCTTAAATTCACAAAAACAACTACGTGCAGGCATGTTTCATATATAATTTAAATCCCAAGGCTGACATTTGCCTTTCAGTTTAAAGTTCAGGTAATCGCAGTATGGTTGTCATTGGCTTTCAGGAGAAAGAATCAATGTATTCCACAACAACCAGCTTCCCAGGAAACAAAATCGGAAACAAAACAATTTGAATCAAGACTAACTCTTCTGATTTGTAGCTGTGCAGAAAGTTTAAGGATTGATTTATAATATAGCATCCGAAATATTTAATGGAAGGGATGGGCTACAAGAAATTAAATGTCACCTAAATGATGAGAGATAGAGACGAGATTAGGTACAAGTAGGTATGTCTACCTAACACACTGGACTGCCTAATGGCTTGATTAAGTATTGCTGTTACAGTGAATGAGGATATAAAAGAAAAATAACAACATACTTAACAGGGAAAGTGAAAGAAAGCAATGTAACTTCTACTACAGACAGAAGGGAGCTAGAGGTTAGAATCAAACCATGTAACCAGAAATGGAAGCTCGTCATGTTTGAGGTACTCAGGAAAATAAAGGCCACCACCACTGTAGAGGGCATTAAAATGCAGACAAAAAAGACTATTAACCAGCTACATCTAGAGAAGGACATGAAATCAACCAAGACAGATGCAGCGAGAGAATTGGAAGTTATACCTCATCTTTCTCAATAAAAAGTAGTGCTGAAGAACTGAAAAAGGCAGGCACTTGATTGCAGAGCAAATGAAAAAAAACAATGCTATGTGAGCTTTACTAGGCAAAGTAAAACAGCAGTTTCCTAAGAATACTATACTGAGTGATACCAAAGTCTTGCAAAATGACCAGAAAATACACCAAGCTCCAAAATCAACAGCCAACTTTTTACATCGTGTACAGAAAGAAACAGGGGGGCTACATTTTATTTTTATGCCAACAAACATTGCCCTGGGTAGAAGTTTTGCAAGCCGACTTCCTGTATTTTCAAATTTATGCCTACTGTATTTTGCTTTTTTTTAAAAGACTGTATTTGATAAACAATACATTCACAAGTTATTTCTTTATAAAGTCTTTATAAGAATTACCTTTGCCCTCCATTTATAAGAGAACAAAGTGCACGTGCTGGAGTCACATTATTAACCATAGCCTTCAGTGCTTTGTCTACCTCTTCCCTTATAAATGTGTTGGATTCACCAGCTTTGTGCAAAAGGACTTTCACTGTATTATCTAGTTCTTGATCCATGCTCTTTTTCAGGTAGGTGAACAAATCCCCTAAACAGACCACAGCAGCTCGAGAAACACCTGAGCGTAAATTCTTGACCTGCACACAGGAAAAACCCAAACAAACAATGAATATGTTTATAAAATATACTTTAAAATAAGTAAAGCTTAATGTTTCCCTTTGTAAGTTTTAAGTAACATTAAAAGCAACTGAGAAACACATTTCTGACTTGATTCACAATGTGTGAGAATTAAAATACATACACATGAAAATGTTACAAAGTTACAAGCTACATTTTTTCAGTCTCTTAGCAAATCAAATCAAATCAAATCAAATCAAATCAAATCAAATCAAATCAAATCAAATCAACTGTTGGTATCTGAAGTATGAGCTGCTTTGCTGAATGACAGACTCATCCTTTTGAGACTGAGGAAACAGTCCAACAGAGGAAAAGTAACCACAGATGAACATACCATTTCACTTCAGTGTATCTCAGAGCTATAAAATACATATACACACATATACACACGTATAGCCAGTGAAATATTCTGATAGGAAAATTTAACCTCTTGTGCCACAGCCAAAATTGTTTCGTGTAGCTTTGCAGTCAGAATAGTTGCATGGTAAGCAGACAAACATCTAACAAAGTTCAGACCTTCAATTTTCTTCTCCCTATGTAAGAAAATGTTTAAATTCAAAACATTTGCAAATTTTCATAAAAATATTAAAACATAGAATTCTAAGACACCAAGTAGCAAACCAATTAGGTTGTAAAATAAAGCAATGACATGTAGCCTAGGAAATTCTTTCGAAGTGAGTCTTTCTTTTAATGTGGTAGTAGGACTATTTCAGCATACCAGTCTCTCAATTCTTTTCTACAGTTCTGCCCACAGCTTGCACCAGTGGCAATGAAAGGATTACTTTCCTTCCCACAGTTGAAAAGGCAGCAGCACTGTAACCCCATTTCACCCGTCAGAGCACAGCAAAGCCCTTATATTCCACAGAAAACAGCAAGGAGGTATTGGTGGGGCCCCTCCTCAGAACAGTGCTTAAACTCAGCCGTCTCTACATGCCTCTGGAAGCTTAGCTATTCAGCCTCCATTTACAACAGTTAGAATTTTATCCAGATTTGGACTAAAAAAAAACTTTCTTCTTTTTTCTTATGTATCACATGCAGTCCTTCTCCCTGTTTTTGAAGTTATGTCCATTTTGCTGTTTTTTTTTAAGTAAGTTATCAAAATAAATGCCTTCTACGTTAGATTCAGGTTGCAGATAGATGTTTACACCCACCAGTCATCATCAGCTAGAAGTGTCAAGGCTTCTGTCAGTGCCGTTTCTGGTTTTGAAAAGGGCTGCAGTTCTGATGGGTCCATTATTTCTGGGCTATGAGTGACTGAGGGGGTTCGGTCTTTATAGAGTCCTCGTGCCCCAAGAGAAATTTCATCTGCAAAGTCATGAAGCGTAATAAATAATTTGCATCATCTGAAGAAGGAAGGAAATATTAAGAGTCTGAGGTATAGATAGCCTGCTGCTACTGAGGGACCAGCATTTCAAAAAGACCGCTTTCCCAGTTACATCCTTCAGCATTTCATTCACGCAAATGCATTTTTTTGCAAGCAACCACCACCTTAAAAAGTCGCAAACACAAATGTAGTGGTTGTTTAATGTAAAAACGGATTTAGCACAATGTGCTAAAACACAGTGAGGTAAGACACAATACAGCAAAACTTAAAGAAACACTTCAGAAATTCTGAACACCTTTGACCATCATCAGTATGAGCTCTTCTGAAAAGATTTCTACTGCACATTTTCAAGGCATCTCAGTGACCAGATGTACACAGAAATGTTTTTCTTCAAGAGAGAGAAGGGGTCAGAAGAGAGTCAACTTGCCATTAATACATTACATCTGTAACGTATTATGGTGTACAATGGTGTACAAAACAACATTGAAGCTGCGCAAATAAAAAACCCTCTCATGTTTCAAACATCGTAAACATCTTCCAAAGAAATTCCAGATGAAGAATGTTTCAAGGGGGCAGTGATGAATTCTGACCCTTTCACCATCCTCCCCGAAGTACTAATCTTCCAGAGCATCTCAGGACTCTCCATTGAACATATTAATGATATTAAACCTGATTGTATTTTGGAACTGTCCCGCTCCACATATCCAAATATTTTAACAGTCTTTGTACTTAGTTTACTGTAACAGCTTACCAGAATCTAGCAAGGCTGAACATTTTGTCTTCTTCAAACTGGATGTTCTTTTTAATGAAGGATTCAAGGCAACATTTTCTAATGACAAAGACACATTTCTTGATGATGTTAATATATCCCCACAGAGATTTAACTCTGGAAAAGAGAAGGAAATGTCCAAACTACAACAACAACAAAAAATCAGAAAAAAGGAAAAAACTAGTATTTTCAGTTCTAGTCGGTCTTTTGAAAATTTTAACTAGTCTTTCAAACGTTTTCCATAAACACTTTATTCTCCACCATTTGTATTGTAAGACTGACAACAAACTGTCAAACTGACTAAAGAGTAAACTACAGTGTAAAATTAGTTCTAGTAATACCTTATGTCACACTAAACAGTCATGATTTTTCATTTCCATTTCAGCAGCATTTAATAGTGTATTATTCATTTAAGACAAACACTACACAATCCTTACTTTCTGTTGTCATTTTCTCTGGTTCGTTCAGTTTAAGTCTTTCCCAAGGGTTTTCTTCCTTTTCTTCGAGGTCTTTGACTTCCCACTGTTCTCTATGACTGTGTTCTTTTTCTTCCTTCTTCTTCCGCCTCATCTTGTCCTGGGCAGATTTTGACATGGCAACTTTTATCTGCAAAAAATTATTGCACTCACTATGATATGCAATCTAATATAATGCAGAAGTTACCCAATAACTTGTTACCCAGTTCTTGATATTGTCTAAGCTAAGCATGGAAAATTACTATTTTCACAATTATTCTACAGAGCAAAAGGAAATCATTCACATAAAAATTAAAACCAATCCTGAAAAGAGCTGAATGTGTGCTTTCTGCATGATAAGTAGTCCTACCAGCAAAAAGAAGCAACATTCCAGGTTTAAACATTTAAGGGAAATAACCACGTACTCTAAAATATCTGAATAGTAAGAGAACTAAGGTCTACAAGAGAAGGTCTTGTATTCTTTGGCAGCATTGTCTAGTTTCCTAGAATTTTAATTAACAATACACAGTCTGGGCTCACTGACTCATATTTAAGCACACAGGTGCTTTTTTTTAAACAGCGGTCTTTAACGGTGTGATCTCACCCTACTCTCTTATATGTTTAAGACACTTACAGTTCCTTATGAAAACTCAGTAACACCTGATACATTCCTTCATTTACTCCTCTGAACATGATCCCTCCAAGTATTCACATCTTCAGTGGCAATCAGAAAATTAAGACACTGTTTATCATTAATTTAAAGTTTTAGTAATCTAAAAATGTTATTTTAAATGCTTATGGAAAGACTGGTGATTTTCAGTTCAAATTTTTAAAAATTTGTATCACTGCTTCATTCAGATAAATCTTGCTCTATGTTATAACAGATGTAAACAGTATTTAACAAAGCAGCACCACTCCTCATGAAACTGTATTATGGGACAGATATTCAGATGGTATTTTTTAAAAAACTTATGAATGGAGCCAGATTAATATATCCATCCAGAAAAAAAGACGTGATCGAACCCAGCCAGTTCCTCCTTCCACATTTCTATGTGCTGTGGGGGTCAGACAAGAAGACATTTTCCAGCTCCCCTCCTCCCTCCTGCAGCCCTTCTCCCAGAGACTTTGCATTTGGTGGGAAGCTTCTGATGCAGCAACTTGTTATTATAAAAAATCCAGGTGGAACCAAAAGGAAAAGCAGGGAGAAGGACCTTGATGGCTACGGGCTGCTTTGGTACGTCAGGTCCAGATTCGACCCCTGGCACAGCCTGAGCCACAGCAGGAAGCTGTGTTGCACTCTGTTAGTGCCTCAGTTACTAAGATTTTGGGAGATGAGTCTTTCTCAGCTGTTCCTGCT